TATTGTGTTTTTTTTGTGAATGTGTAGAGTATTCCTTGGTAAAACAAACAAAAACTGGATGTAATGTAATTCTACAAGTTAATTCTGCTGTATACCAATAGATATACAAGATGAATTTGTTAGTTCGCTACACCTAATCATACAGAGAGGCATTGGAAATTTACTATCATGGATGGTAAATTTTAGCAATCGTGAAAAATATCTTTGTATTTACATAGAAACTAAGAGACCAGTTTTAAAATTGCTCTCAGATCCCTCTCTCCAGCTCTCACTCCCATCCTCCACCTCTCCCAAACAGTGGTTTATTTAGAAAAATACTTTTAGTTTGAGATCACTATGACTTGTGGGGGAAGGAAGGTCAATGGGAGGTGTAGCAAGGCCATGCAGGAGCCACTGCTTCCATAAACAGAAAAGAAAAGTAAAAAAAAAGAAAAGAAAGAGACTGTAAATATCATGGATATTGCTGCTAAGACTTAAATTACCTTTTAACATAAACAAGAAAAAGTGTTTCATCAAATGAATCCTATCAGAATCCCCCAAATAGTTATGAAACAACTGCTTAAAGAGCAAAGGATTTTTTATGAGTTACAAGTAGGTAGGTACATGTTTGAAGATTTACCCAATTGATTGTCGTGCCATACAAAAAAATAACATGGGGTTTAATGAAGTTGCCCAAGCCACAGGCAAGCATATTAGTGGTATTCATCATTAATCATCGGATTGGATCACAGGAAGTGATAAATGTTCTATTGCACATGGACATGGATTATATATTTGCCATAGAATTTATCTTCCAGCAACTAGGTGATTGGCCAAGAACCAAAACAAAGGTCTTCCCTGCTATGCGGACAGCAAACCGGCCTATCACTTGCTTTGGAGAAACTGATTTCCTTATTCTGTACACTTTAGTTTTTATGTGGTTGCTTAACCCTGGCAGTGGGGGCATGAAGCTTTACCTGAAGGTGAGATCAATCCAGGTATACCAACTCAAGAAGAGCTAGAGTGGATTGTACCTCACCCTTAACCTTCTTGAAGCACTTTACTGTCACTTCCTTATAGTGTACCTTGGAATGTCCTCTAACAGTTTCTCCTCAAAATATCTCAAGTGCCCTAGAATGTCACTTACAGACAATCGCTCTAATCTGGTGACAATACATCAAAATTCTTTAACAATCTTGTGATGCCCATCAAAGATATCAAAGTCCATGATGAATACACTGTCAACTGTCTTTAGCATGAGAAACTGTTCCATGTATTCCATGTAGGACTTCCTGAGATAATCGAGGAGATTTTTTTTTTATCTTACCTGGATTGGAAGCTAGGTAGTTGTTCCGATCCCTAATCTTTCTACTCGCAACTGTCAGGTAGAGAAGCAGTGTATTCTAAATTTGTAGTCTCCAAACAACTCATTGAATTTTCATTTCTTCCTTTCCCTATGCCCACTAACCAATAAGAGGGAGTTATATGTTATGGGACCCCTAATCCCTTGCTTGATGTTGTCATGGAGGGGGCGGAGGCTTAGGAGATGGAGATAGGCCCAATGTAGGGAATCATCCCTGCCTTGGACCTCAGCCCACGTCTCAACTAATTTTGCATGGCCTTTTGTTCGCCCTCAAGCCCCACCCTATTGCTGTATTTGGAATACACCGTTAATGACCTTAGATAATGACACATCAGAAATATTTAAATAAATTAAATAAAAATATGCTAAGGGACATACTCCCCAGTCACAGAGGTAATAGCATCACAATATGCAATGCTGTTCTTTGGTAAATAATTGCAACTAAAGTGGCATAGAAAAGCTTAATTGTTTCCACCTCTCTTTACCTAGCTGAGGTCAAAAGGAGGTAAGAAGACGCATCTTTCATTCACCCTCTCGATCTTTGTGGGGGGAGGGGTCAGTCTGCGGAGTATATGGTCATGTGATCCTTGAGTGGGTTTGAGTTAGCGTCATGGCTTGCCACAATTTTTGTCCTATGGCTTCAAGCATGGCTTTCTGTACATAGTGTACTGTCCATCCACCTACCTGCCTACTTCTATGGACTGTACTTCTGGCCATCCTCCACATTTGCATACCTGTTTGTCATCTTCTGTCTTGGTCCTTGGTCGTGTGCCTTAAGGGTCTAGTAGGCAGTGCCCTCCTAGTGGCAGTCAGGGCCGGTCCGCTCCTCTGTGCTTACACAACACTGGGTTCCATGGGCATTCTCACAGGTAGACCCTTACAGTTGCATCTTAGATGGTTTCCTGTGCGGGCAAGCAGAAATTTCTTCCTATTTTTGGGAGTTTAAGGGTGATCTTTAGCTAAACTTTACCGCAAGCGACCGGGACAGCTTGCTATCTTATTCGCACAAGCCCTTTGGTGGATGAACGTAAATAACAAACGATTATTATATCCGCCATCCAAGACCGTTGATCAAACTTGAAATCGCGAATCATACTACAATCTTCTGGTGAGAGGAAGGAAATGGATTTCATGATAAATAAAGATGAAAGAGAAGAGATAAATGAAGATGAAAAATATGAAAATGAAAGATCGTACGTAAATGAAAGTAGCGAGAGAATTCAGTGGACCGAAGGGGCAGAACGAGTGAATTTTTAAGTCAAATGAGTGAATCGTATTTGTTAGTCTTAGGAGAAACGAGTTTTCCATCACAAGGTCATCGTAACAGAGGAATATGCAAATTACAACAAAGGATTGACTGACCTGCTAAGAGCGCTTTCAGTGTAAGGAATGAAATTAACAGAATGATTGACAAACGCCCAAAATTCCTTTTCCTTTACCCCAATTTATTATCATAACTATTCTACTATTACCACTGCTATTACTGTAACTACTACTACTACTACTACTTCTACTGTTACTACTACTACTACTACTACTACTACTACTACCACTACCTTTTACTGCTACTATTACTGTTACTACTACTACTACTACTACTACAATTATTACTACTGCTACTAAAACTATTACTACCACTACTACTTTTTACTGCTACTATTACTATTACTATTACAATTACTATTACTACTACTACTACTACAATTACGACTATTGTAGCTACTGATACTAATGCTATTACTACGACTACTACTACTACTACTACAATTACTACTACTGTAGCTACTGATACTATTACTGCTACTACTACTTATCAATGTCATTGTCATGGACACTATTATAGTTATTAATTTTCACGTATTTTTTATATAGTTTATATGCATTTGTACGTAGCATTTTTTTTATATGGATAATTATCAGAAAGAGTTATTGAAACGATCAAATTGCTGCATATACTGATACTGAATTGCGTTTATACATAATTAAAGTGTGTTGCGTCCAGGAATTACTTACTTCCTCGTGTTAATACACTTTTATTAGGTATCCGGATGAGCGTTCATTATGTGTTGGTGAATTATTGAACAACGTATTTGTAAAATGATATCAACTAGGGAGTCTCTCTCTGTGCTTCTTTCGCCTTCTATCTCTGTCTGCGTCTGTCTGTCTGTCTCTGTCATTATCTCTCTGTCTGTCTGTCTATCTCTGTCTCTATTTCTCTGTCTGTCTGTCTGTCTGTCTCTGTCATTATCTCTCTGTCTGTCTGTCTATCTCTGTCTCTGTTTCTCTGTCTGTCTGTCTGTCTGTCTCTGTCATTATCTCTCTGTCTGCCTGTCTATCTCTGTCTCTGTTTCTCTGTCTGTTTGTCTATCTCTGTCTCTGTTTCTCTGTCTGTCTGTCTGTCTGTCTCTGTCATTATCTATCTGTCTGTCTGTCTCTGTCATTATCTCTCTGTCTGCCTGTCTATCTCTGTTTCTGTTTCTCTGTCTGTCTGTATCTCTCTCTCTCTCTTCCTCTCTCTCTCTCTCTCTCTCTCTCTCTCTCTCTCTCTCTCTCTCTCTCTCTCTCTCTCTCTCTCTCTCTCTCTCTCTCTCGCTCATTCTCTCACCCTATCAATCTCTCTCTCTCTCTCTCTCTCTCTCTCTCTCTCTCTCTCTCTCTCTCTCTCTCTCTCTCTCTCTCCCTCTCTCTCTCTCACTCGCTCACCTTCTCACCCAATCAATTTATCTCTCTCTCTCTCTCTCTCTCTCTCTCTCTCTCTCTCTCTCTCTCTCTCTCTCTCTCTCTCTCTCTCTCTCTCTCTCCCTCCCTCTCTCTCTCTCTCTTTATCTCTCTCTCTCTCGCTCACTCTCTCACCCTATCAATCTCTCTCTCTCTCTCTCTCTCTCTCTCTCTCTCTCCCTCTCCCTCTCTCTCTCTCTCTCTCTCTCTCTCTCTCTTTCTCTCTCTCTCTCTCTTGCCCTCTCTCTCTCTCTCTCCCTCCCCCCCCCCCCCCCCTCTCTCTCTCTCTCTCTCTCTCTCTCTCTCTCTCTCTCTCTCTCTCTCTCTCTCTCTCTCTCTCTCTCTCTCTCTCTCCCTTCCCCCCCCCCCTCTCTCTCTCTCTCTCTCTCTCTCTCTCTCTCTCTCTCTCTCTCTCTCTCTCTCTCTCTCTCTCTCTCTCTCACTCGCTCACTCTCTCACCCTATCAATCTCTCTCTCTCTCTCCTCCCTCCATCCTTACAGCGAAGGTGAAACAGTGACTAGATTCGCTATCAGATGTAAGTAACTCTCTGTAAAGGATCTGCATGTTCTTGGCACAAAACACGTCCAGTCGAGTATTTGTTTATTCAAGGTGTAAATCTTTAAACTTTGCGATGACTGACCATGTTCTTACCTGCGCAGACAATGAGTGTAAAGGGCAGTTTTTCTGCTTTGGAAGAAAAGGGACTTTGGAGAAACATATGATAGTCATAAAACAGAACGGGGGTGCACCAAAGTACATATTTTTTATATCGCATCGGAGACTGGAACTATTGATTATACAATTTAATGAAAAACGTGTATAAATTAACAGCACGGTGTTACAGCGGGTATTCAGTACGCAAGGATGGACATACTATTCTCAAAACAAAGAAGACAGTTGAAGGAATGGCACTTCAAATGCGCCCTCTTCAAATCGCTC